AATCTAGCCCAGGGGTGGGCAAACTTTTTGACTTGAGGGCCGCAATGGGTTCATATATTGGACCCGGGGGCCGCACCAAGAGTAGATGAATGATGTGTATGTGTCATCCATAGTAAGTATAGTAATATTCCCCCATAGTAAGCATAGTAATTATCCCCCATATAGTAATTCATCCCCCCTATAGTAATGCATCCCCCCTATAGTAATTCATCCCCCTATAGTAATTCATCCCCCATATAGTAATTCATCCCCCATAGTAATTCATCCCCATAGTAATTCATCCCCCATATAGTAATTCATCCCCCATAGTAATTCATCCCCCATATAGTAATTCATCCCCATATAGTAATTCATCCCCCATATAGTAATTCATCCCCCATAGTAATTCATCCCCCATATAGTAATTCATCCCCCATATAGTAATTCATCCCCCATAGTAATTCATCCCCCATATAGTAATTCATCCCCCATATAGTAATTCATCCCCCATAGTAATTCATCCCCCATATAGTAATTCATCCCCCATAGTAATTCATCCCCCATATAGTAATTCATCCCCCATATAGTAATTCATCCCCCATAGTAATTCATCCCCCATAGTAATTCATCCCCCATATAGTAATTCATCCCCCATATAGTAATTCATCCCCCATAGTAATTCATCCCCCATATAGTAATTCATCCCCCATATAGTAATTCAACCCCCATAGTAATTCATCCCCAATATAGTAATTCATCCCCCATAGTAATTCATCCCCCATATAGTAATTCATCCCCCATATAGTAATTAATCCCCCATAGTAATTCATCCCCCCTATAGTAATTCATTCCCCATATTCATCCCCCATATTAATTCATTCCCCATATTCATCCCTCATATAGTATTTCATCCCCCATATAGTAATTCATCCCCCATATAGTAATTCATCCCCCATATAGTAATTCATCCCCCATATAGTAATTCATCCCCCATATAGTAATTCATCCCCCATATAGTAATTCATCCCCCATAGTATTTCATCCCCCATATAGTAATTCATCCCCCATATAGTAATTCATCCCCCATATAGTAATTCATCCCCCATAGTAATTCATCCCCCATATAGTAATTCATCCCCCATATAGTAATTCATCCCCATAGTAATTCATCCCCCCATATAGTAATTCATCCCCCATATAGTAATTCATCCCCCATATAGTAATTCATCCCCCATAGTATATAGTAATTCATCCCCCATATAGTAATTCATCCCCCATATAGTAATTCATCCCCCATAGTAATTCATCCCCCATAGTAATTCATCCCCCATAGTAATTCATCCCCCATATAGTAATTCATCCCCCCATATAGTAATTCATCCCCCATATAGTAATTCATCCCCCATATAGTAATTCATCCCCCATATAGTAATTCAACCCCCATAGTAATTCATCCCCAATATAGTAATTCATCCCCCATAGTAATTCATCCCCCATATAGTAATTCATCCCCCATATAGTAATTAATCCCCCATAGTAATTCATCCCCCCCTATAGTAATTCATTCCCCATATTCATCCCCCATATTAATTCATTCCCCATATTCATCCCTCATATAGTATTTCATCCCCCATAGTACTATTCCCCCCCAAGTAGTAAGCCAAGTCCCCCCTGTGTCAATTCACTTACCTTTGCTCCGCGCGTTCCTCTCGCCGTGTCCCCGCGCCGTTCCGGTCTTCAGGGCGGACTGTGAGAGGAGCCTAGCTCCCCTCACGTTCATCACACTGCCCCGCCTACACACATCCTGACAGCCCATGTATCACACTCCAGGGGCCGGATTAAAAGGTCCGCCGGGCCGTAGTTTGCCCATTGCTGGTCTAGCCTGTGTGACTCAGCTGCCTGTGAGTCATCTTTGGTTGCTATAGCAACTCACTCAGTCAGGAAGGTGAGAAGGGCTTTTGTAAACAAACTGCTCCAACTTGCCAACTTCACTTGCGATTGCCATCTTCAAACACTTATAGTTTTAAAAGTATAAATGCTACTGTAAAGAGCTTTATATTGTGAGAATCACAAGAACCAGACCTACATTTTGATGTATAGTATGTCTCTGAAATATTAAAAATGAAGGCACAGTCGCAGTTTAAAAATGTTCCTTAAAATTTCAGGTGGTTGTGAGTGGCGTTTCAATGAAAGTCAATGGGAGGGGTGAGTTGCAAACAAATGGTCATATTGTGAAAACTATCAGGACTATGGCTTAGCCGTGAACATTTTTAGTGACAGCAGGGTTAGCTGAACGTTTTGATATAAGATATGTGTAGGTGGGCTGGAGAATGACAGAGTGATGGCAGTTTACAAATCATGTTCTGATTTTTCCTTCCACACTGTAGCTTTGTAAGTTCTCACTCTAGTTGCACCATTCATTCCTATCGGAAAATTTCACCACAAAAACCGCGATATTTCGTGAACCATTCGGCAAAACGTTCCACAAAGTAATAGCAATCCGATCGGGAACAATCCGCACATTTTGATATATTACTTGTCTTTGTAGTGTAAAAAACTGTGGGAGGAGTTAGCGTGGCAAATTTGGCTATAATAAGAATATATGTGAGATAACAATAAGTGTTCTGCAAGAAGACGTAATAAACTCCCAGCGAGGAATAAATACCACCAAAAATAAAGCTTTATGTGTCTCAAAAAAAAATGATAAAAAATTTATATGGGTACAGTGTTGCATGACCGCGCAATTGTCATTCAAAGTGTGATAGTGCTGAAAGCTGAAAATTGGCCTGGAGAGAGGAAGGGGGTAAAATGTTTTTTTTTTTTTGGTAAAAAATAAAAAAAACTCTAAAAACCGCAAATGCAAACACATCTTTAACGTGACTTTAGACAGCTAATGTTACCAGCATTATTAACCCCCCCCCCCCCCCCCCCCACCATTCGCATGGAGCCTGAAACGGGTCATCATACACGAAACGGGTCATAATGTTTTACAAAAGGTGCCGTAACTGGACCAAGTCACAGCTCTACAGATCTGTCCCGGGGGAGCACCGGCCAGCTCAGCATGTGTGGCCGCCATGGTATGGGTAGAGTGCGCCATGATGCCCTCCAGGACCTCCAGGCCCTCGGCCGATTGCTAGTCTTAGTCACCTAACTCAGTGTTTCTCAACTCCAATCCTCATGGACCGCCAACAGGTCATGTTTTCAGGATTTCCCTCAGATGAAACAGCTGTGGTAATTACTAAGGCAGTGAAACTGATCAAATCACCTGTGCAAAATAATGGAAATCCTGAAAACATGACCTGTTGGGGGTCCATGAGGACTGGAATTGAGAAACACTGACCTAACTAAAGTGCGTCTGGAGGCCTTATAGCCCTTCCTTACGCCTGAAAAAGAAACAAAAACGAATCCGACTTCCGGATCTCTTTAGTTTTCTCTAAATAAAGGAGAACACATCTTCTCAGGTCCAGTGTGTGAAACTTCCTTTCCTGGTCACGTGAGGGGTTAGAAGAAAAAGAAGGTAAAGTAATATCCTGACCTCGATGAAATCTTGGGGCCACCTTGGGTACAAAGGCCGGGTCCGTCCTAAATGTAACCTATCTGCAAATACCTGAAAGAAGGCGGCTCTAATTGACAGCTTCTAATTCACTCACTCTCCTTGTAATTGCTACAAGGAAGACCGTCTTGAGAGTCAGGGACCTTTGGGAGCTCGAATCCAGAGGTTCAAATGGGGAGCCTGTCAGCACCCTAAGTACCGTGGTCAGATTCCATTTGGGAAAGGGTCTCTCCTCTGCGGGTCTCTGTCTGGTCAAGGACCTAAAGAATCTTGTAGTTGTGCGTGGGAGGAGGAGACCAGGGAGCAAGATAGAAGGAGGTCCTGTGAAGAGCGAAGGGTACGGGTAGGGTGGTACCTGGGAATCAGGTTGGTGAGGTAGTTAGGGGCAGTGTTGTGAACGGCTTTGTAGGTCAGAGTGAGTAGTTTGAATTTGATGCGTTGGGCAATAGGGAGCCAGTGGAGGGATAGGCAGAGGGGGGTGGAGCCAGTGGAGGGATAGGCAGAGGGGGGTGGAGCCAGTGGAGGGATAGGCAGAGGGGGGTGGCAAAGGTGGAGCGGTTGGTGAGGTGGATAAGTCTAGCCGCTGAGTTCAGGATGGTCTGAAGCGGAGAGAGCCTGCACTGGGGTAGGCCAGTGAGGAGGGAGTTGCAGTAGTCGAGGCGTGTTGGAAAGTCTATTACTTAATAGGTCTCTGGAAAAAAGAGGAAGGGATTGCTCCTCTAGTAGAAAAGATTTTTAGAGACGGGTAATATAGAAGAAACGGTTTCTCCTTACAACACACCTATCAATCCTGTAAAGAAGATGAATGACTCTTACAGGTTTGTACAAGATTTGAGGGCCATAAATAATTTGGTGGTTCCAATAGTGCCTGATGTGCCATCACTCCTCACCTCCATTCCATCCGATGCAGAATATTTTACAGTGATTGATTTAACAAATGCATTTTTTTCGATTCCCATGGACCAGCAGACGAGGACGCTATTTGCATTTATATTCTGAAAATCGCCAGATGACCAGGTTTAGAATGCCATTGCCCCTATGTCACCTCTCATCACCCCTATGTCACCTCTCATCGCCCCTATGTCACCTCTCATCGCCCCTATGTCACCTCTCATCCCCTATGTCACCTCTCATCGCCCCTATGTCACCTCTCATCGCCCCTATGTCACCTCTCATGGCCCCTATCTCTCCTCTGCCCCTATGTCACCTCTCATCGCCCCTATGTCACCTCTCATCATCCCCTATGTCACCTCTCATCATCCCCTATGTCACCTCATCGCCCCTATGTCACCTCTCATCGCCCCTATGTCACCTCTCATCACCCCTATGTCACCTCTCATCGCCCCTATGTCACCTCTCATCACCCCTATGTCACCTCTCATCACCCCTATGTCACCTCTCATCGCCCTATGTCACCCTCTCATCACCCTATGTCACCTCTCATCACCTATCATCACCTCATCGCCCCTATGTCACCTCTCATCGCCCCTATGTCACCTCTCATCGCCCCTATGTCACCTCTCATCGCCCCTATGTCACCTCTCATGTCACTCATGTCACCTCTCATCGCCCCTATGTCACCTCTCATCCCCTATGTCACCTCATCTCCCCATGTCCCCTCTCATCGCCCCTATCACCTCTCATCCCCCCTATGTCACCTCTCATCATGTCACCTCTCATCGCCCCTATGTCACCTCTCATCGCCCCTATGTCACCTCTCATCGCCCCTATGTCACCTCTCATCGCCCCTATGTCACCTCTCATCACCCCTATGTCACCTCATCGCCCCTATGTCACCTCTCATCGCCCTCCCTATGTCACCTCTCATCACCCCTATGTCACCTCTCTCATCGCCCCTATGTCACCTCTCATCACCCCTATGTCACCTCTCATCGCCCCTATGTCACCTCTCATCGCCCCTATGTCACCTCTCATCACCCCTATGTCACCTCTCATCGCCCCTATGTCACCTCTCATCGCCCCTCATCCATCTCATCATCTCCATGTCACCTCTCATCGCCCCTATGTCACCTCTCATCGCCCCTATGTCACCTCTCATCGCCCCTATGTCACCTCTCATCGCCCCTACCATCACCCCTATGTCACCTCATCGCCCCTATGTCACCTCTCATCGCCCCTATGTCACCTCTCATGTCACCCTATGTCACCCTCATCCCCTATGCCCCTATGTCACCTCTCATCCCCCTATGTCACCTCTCATGACCCCACCCTATGTCACCTCTCATCACCCCTATGTCACCTCTCATGATCCCCCTATGTCACCTCTCATGTCACCTCTCATCATCCCCTATGTCACCTCTCATCGCCCCTATGTCACCTCTCATCGCATCCCCCTATGTCACCTCTCATCACCCCTATGTCACCTCTCATCGCCCCTATGTCACCTCTCATCACCCCTATGTCACCTCTCATCGCCCCTATGTCACCTCTCATCGCCCCCTATGTCACCTCTCATCGCCCCTATGTCACCTCTCATCGCCCCCTATGTCACCTCTCATCACCCCTATGTCACCTCTCATCCCCCTATGTCACCTCTCATCACCCTATGTCACCTCTCATCGCCCCTATGTCACCTCTCACCCCCCTATGTCACCTCTCATCACCCCTATGTCACCTCTCATCGCCCCTATCTCATCACTCATCATCCCTATGTCACCTCTCATCCCCTATGTCACCTCTCATCGCCCCTATGTCACCTCTCATCATCCCCTACCCCTATGTCACCTCTCATCACCACCTATGTCCCTCTCATCTCCCCTATGTCACCTCTCATCCCCCTATGTCACCTCTCATCATCGCCCCTATGTCACCTCATCATCGCCCCTATGTCACCTCTCATCACCCCTATGTCACCTCTCATCACCCCTATGTCACCTCTCATCATCCCCCTATGTCACCTCTCATCACCCCTATGTCACCTCTCATCACCCCTATGTCACCTCTCATCGCCCCTATGTCACCTCTCATCGCCCCTATGTCACCTCATCACCCTATGTCACCTCATCCCCTATGTCACCCTCTCACCTCTCATCGCCCCTATGTCACCTCTCATCGCCCCTATATCTCCGTATGTCACCTCTCTCATCACCCCTATGTCACCTCTCATCGCCCCTATGTCACCTCTCATCGCCCCTATGTCACCTCTCATCACCCTATGTCACCCCTCATCACCCCCCTATGTCACCTCTCATCGCCCCTATGTCACCTCTCATCACCCCTATGTCACCTCTCATCGCCCCTATGTCACCTCTCATCACCCCTATGTCACCTCTCATCGCCCCTATGTCACCTCTCATGCCCCTATGTCACCTCTCATCACCCCTATGTCACCTCTCATCGCCCCTATGTCACCTCTCATCACCCCTATGTCACCTCTCATCACCCCTATGTCACCTCTCATCACCCCTATGTCACCTCTCATCACCCCTATGTCACCTCTCATCACCCCTATGTCACCTCTCATCGCCCCTATGTCACCTCTCATCGCCCCTATGTCACCTCTCATCGCCCCTATGTCACCTCTCATCACCCCTATGTCACCTCTCATCACCCCCCTATGTCACCTCTCATCACCCCTATGTCACCTCTCATCGCCCCTATGTCACCTCTCATCGCCCCTATGTCACCTCTCATCGCCCCTATGTCACCTCTCATCACCCCTCATCACACCCTCTGTCACCTCTCATCATCCCCCTATGTCACCTCTCATCACCCCTATGTCACCTCTCATCGCCCCTATGTCACCTCTCATCACTATGTCACCTCTCATCACCCCTATGTCACCTCTCATCACCCCTATGTCACCTCTCATCACCCCTATGTCACCTCTCATGTCCCCTATGTCACCTCTCATCATCCCCCTATGTCACCTCTCATCACCCCCTATGTCACCTCTCATCACCCATATGTCACCTCTCATCACCCCTATGTCACCTCTCATCCCCATGTCACCTCTCATCGCCCCTATGTCACCTCTCATCCCCTATGTCACCTCTCATCACCCCCCTGTCACCTCTCATCACCCCTATGTCACCTCTCATCACCCCTATGTCACCTCTCATCACCCCTCATGTCACCTCTCATCACCCCTATGTCACCTCTCATCACTCATGTCACCTCTCATCATGCCCCTATATCACCTCTCATCACCCCTCATGTCACCTCTCATCACCCCTATGTCACCTCTCATCACCCTGTCACCTCTCATCGCCCCTATGTCACCTCTCATCACCCTATGTCACCTCTCATCGCCCCTATGTCACCTCTCATCGCCCCTATGTCACCTCTCATCGACCATGTCACCTCTCATCCCCTCATGTCACCCCCATCGCCCCTATGTCACCTCTCATCGCCCCTATGTCACCTCTCATCGCCCCTATGTCACCTCTCACACTGGCAGATACGATCTTACATACAACCTGGTGCCCTGATTAGAGTTGAGGACCAGCTTAGTAATCACACACCCTTCTAAAGGTCCCTTCAGCTATCCTAGCTTGAACCCCGGTGTTGATAACCCTTCCACTGTCCACACACCCCCACACCAGACGCACCACAAAGGTAGCCTGCCACCACCCAACAGTTTATCCGCAGAACGGTCTGTTGAGACACCACACACACACACAGATCTCCGTCTGGCAGATCTGTTACCTTTGCAATCTGCGTGCAATCTGCCCACTCACAGTGCAGTTGCATACAGATTGGCAATGAGCTTAACCGAGCGTTTTAAAGGCACTAAAATACAATACAATCTAATCTCTCTGATCTAGTCTCTCCGAAGATATGAGCACGTGCTTAAATACACAGAAGTCACTAATTA